ATTAAGAGATATTCATAATTTCTTAATAAATTTTTAATAGTTGACCTTTCATAGGATTAACACTATCCCTTTCCTTGATCTAGGATATCGTTTGACTTGAATCTATAGCCTAGATTTCTGATTTGCATGGGATGTAATGAGAAATTCGAATTCACAAAAGATTAACGGATAAGTTAAATCAAACCCCTGTCATGTCGTATTATCATTAGGGCCAATAATCATAAAGGGTTCTGGTTTGTTATGGTTAGATTCAAAATTTTCTGACAAAGAAATATTAGTCATTATAAATTTAGTCATATTGGTCATTATAAATTTTGTGATGCATATAATGCATTAGGTAAGCCAAAATATACTTGTTATTTTTTACTATCGCTATAATGCGGTAACGTTTTTCACCGTAACGAAAGAAAGAAAGTATTTTTTTAAAATCAATTTATTTATTTCATTACAAATTTTACCGAAATCCGCACTCGGCTCGCAACGAACACAGTGCTTATGTAAAATATCCTCAGTGGTAGACGAATCATGGGTTAGAGTCTCCTTGCCGTCAGGTTAACCGTGTTAGGTTTATGCGGTTTTCTTCTCCATGTAACGCAAAGGCGGGTTAGTTCCATCAAAAAGTCCTGCACTAAGGTGAATTTCTCTCAATACTTGATCCAGAGCTTCCCTTGTCTTCTGGATTGGGTTCAAAATTACAAGGTTACGGAGTTGAACATTGGTAGTCGATGCACGTTAAACTCAAAATTGGATCAGTAGTTCAACGACGGTTATAAAATAATAACTTCTCCGGCTGAAAAATGGAGATTTTTCAAAGGTGTTTAGAATAATTGGCTGAATTTGCAAGTTTGGCTATTTTGATCACCACCGAAACAACACTAGGGGGGGGGGATTTGTATTTGTTGCAAGAAAATTTTGAACGGATCTTAGGTATTTTCGCATCGTTGCTTTCAAATCTTCAATCGGTTTCTCTACAAGCTACAGTTTTTATGCATTTTAAAAATGCATTCCTAACCAGGATAGTTTAAAATTCAGTCGAGTTAATATTAGGGGCCTCCACTTCTCTTCTACGAAGGGAGGGTTGGAAAAAGGAAGTAACATGTTTAAGTTTATAATGCGATACGCTGAAGTCATTTTTTTTAAAAGTAATATATGTAAGCATAGAAACTTATACATTTTTTTTAAAAACTTGTGCATTTAGACAAAGAAGATAAACTAAACGAAAAGTATTATTTTGAAAAAAATCTGCACCTTTCGGAACAAAACTAATTTTAGGTTTGAAATCCTCACACCCGAATTAGATAAGATCAAGTATTCGTGTGCAACAAAAAACTTGTTCCCAAGTGTACTTCAATGAAAGTTAAGAAGTTAAAAACATTTGACTTAGTTTTGAAAAAACATTTGACTTAGTTTTGAAAAAACATTTATCTAATTATTATTTCACTAAAACAATAAATATTCTTGGTCGGCAGTTCCGAACGTATTTAAAAATTTGAATGTGTACCAGTGGGTGCATCTAATCCTAACATTGAATGTATCCTAAGTTACACAGCCCATTCGGGATGAAAGAAACTTTGCTTTTCGAGAATAACATTTGAGTTATTAATTTATTATTGTACGAGTAAATTAGATTATAATAATAAAAGCAGTTGTTGCTTATCCTCTTAATCTGAGATATGTCAGATAAGCTCCAGAAGATCACTGACCGCAAGAAATTCCGCAACAAAAAGGGGATCCGAGGTAAAGTCCAAGGCGAACCGGAATATGTTCCATCGAGGTTGATTGAACACAGCATTTTTTGCAAATAAAGGAGGATCTTTCTGCCTCTCTCAAAAGAAAGGCACTTAAAATGGAAACTTGCAAATCTGGCCATAGTTATCTGGGTTCCTCGATCGCATTTAATGTCCAGCAGGGTATGTAGACTGTATACGCCATTTTATATGAAGCTTGGGTCTTTCAATGGAGCAGAGTTTTTGAACAGTAAGTGAGGGATCCATTGTGTGAGTAAGGTGAAAGTACGTGAGGAAAGTAAGTTGTAAATGAGGAGTCGGTGGCTGTTTCTTCTTCACTGATGGCCTCATTCGCTGATCAATTCGTTACCTCATTTCTGAGGCTATCCACGTGTGATGGAATCCATTGGAGGTGGATATCGTGATTCTTAGAGATTGTCCTTAGTTTGTGTAGAATAAAAACGCTGGTTTCATCGCTTGCAGAGGACCAGCCACTAAAGGCCTGGTTTCTTAGGGCAGGTAGGCGTGACAAAACATGAGCTTGAAGCGAGCGCTAACCCCTGGTTGGTCAATTTGTGAGTCAGACAGCATAAGTCATCGAACGCTCAGCTTGAACGACAACTGCCGTCCGAATCAACTGCAGTTGGATTACAACGTATCGTTAACGACAGAAGCAATGACGGACAACAGCCAACAGAGCTTTGAAATCAGCCAAGATTTTGATTTTAACCTTAAGCATAGCTTCTTCTTCCTCTTCTTGTTCATTTAGCTAAACTATAATGTGTTTTTTTTCTTGGACAAGGTCATTTTTTGTTCTGTAAAGCACTGGTCGACAGTAATAGAATCAATACAAAATCAAAATAAAATATTTGTTTACGTCATTAACGCATGCGGAATGCGAGATAATGTCCGCCTTGAAACGACTGCTCTCGTTGAGCTTACAAAACAGCATTTTGTTGGCGTCAGGGAACGTCAACTTCCCGCTGCTGACGCCCAGAGAAAACGCTTGTCTTAAGAAACCAGGCCTTTTAGATGTTGTAGTGAACTGCGGCTGTCTGATAAAATCCACAATTCACTAAAACCAACTTTCATAGGACAAGATAGTATTAAACCCTAAATGCTGTTTTTATTTCTGGCTCCATTTTATCAATTGTTTACAAAACTTTCTTATTCAAGCGCGAATTATGAGAATTAATGATCTTAGTAATAAAATAAAGGCGTAAAATTTTATGTCGGACTATCTAATCATTTTATTGATCTGTCGCTTGTTGGCAAGTCTGCTATCTTGAATGTGTGAATTTATTTTTGAGTTTCTTTCAAAGGTTATTATCTTGAACGATAATAATTGCTTCTTTTGCTTTATTTCATTGCAAGTTGCTTGCAACACAGGGAGAAAGTTTTAAAATGACATCTAGATTTTGTTTAGGTAATTCGAATTGCAATAATGATATTTACGTATTTTATCTAAGACTTGTGTGTTGATTGTATTCTAACTGTATCTGTAAATAATGTACAGTTATGAAATTTACAATCATTTGTGTTACAGAATAGTGAAAGTAACTGAATTTAGGAACAAAAATCGATTGTGTAAACATTAATATATACCCAAATACTTTATATTCGCGAAGTTGGATTAAAAAAAAATTTAGAATTTACATTTCGCCTGCCGAAGTCACATTTTGCAATAATTAAAAAAGGGTGTTAGAAAAAGTAGTAGCTCGTAAGTGGTTGCAGATTAAATTAAGTGTTTTTTTTTCATGTTCTCAAACTGAAATACCTGAAATTAAAAGTTTAGTCCAAAGAATGTTAAAAACTTTTGACAACTGCAGACAGCTCCACAACAGGCTTTAAATTGTTAGATTCCTAATTTTTTTTTATAACTGCCGTTGAACGGACGACCCAATTTTATGTTTACGACTACTAATGTTCAACACAGTACCCTTGTAATTTTGAACCAATCCAGAAGACAAGGAAACTCTTGAATCAGTACCCCCAGAGGTATTGATTTGTTATGGGAACATGGTGGACTTTGCAACTTGACAGATTTAATGTGCATCAGTCACCATTTACTACGCGTTGAGTCTTCGGCTGACTGGGATCGAACCTACGAGCTCTTGGACATGGGCCCAGAACCCTACCAACCAGGCTATCCCGGCCTCCTCAGAATTAATTGTCGTACTACAGAAGCTATTGAGGTGGTCTCTAGGTACAGTAAAGTGGCAATGCTCCATAAAATGATACTTCTTGCAGCGCCACCTTGTGAAAACTGCAGAGTTAATCCTTCTATATCGAAAATGGTACGATTGGTAAAAAGTGAATGACAAAGTTATAGAACATTCAAATTTTAGAACAAAAAGTAATCCTGAGGATATTGATAAGGAGAAAAAAAAGACGAATTAAAACACGGATTTTTTTTTCCGTAATTTTATGCACGATAACGTAGTGAAGTTATTGTAGAGCGAAATTGAAACTCGTCTAGTTATAATAAGGTCGTTGTTCAAAGTTTAACTTACATCCGAGAGTTGAAAATAAAAATATCACGTGATAAATACTGGTTGCTCTTTTTATAGATAACTTAAACAACACAATTTAGGCCACTTCTTGTATCTGTGCATTTTTTGGGGTAATAAACACCACAACTTAATCGCAACATGAGACAGTTATCATTGGTTTTGGACATCAAAATGTTTATGTGGTTCCTATGAATTCCAAAATGTAAAAAAAAGGAATCCTTAAACAACTATAAACATTTGTTCTAACGAAAATCATTAAAACAAAAGTTTAGACTGGATTCAAATTATATATATATATATATATATATATTTTTGTGTAAGTCGAAAGGGAANTGGGATGACTAGATTTTGGCCTTAAAATAGCCTATATTGGTTGAATAATGAATATAAAATATCGGGCAAATCGGACAATTCTGTATTAAACAAATATCGAAAAATAACGGTCATTTATACCCTTATTAAGCCAAGATCCATAAATATTGGTCCAATGAAGGCCCCAGATACTTTGCTGCTAGGGTAATTACGAAATAAAAATATAATATAATAATTTCATAAAATATATCATCATTTATAAAAAATATTTTCAGAAAATTGTGCAGATAGCATATTTTTTATATATACGTATATATATATATATATAATTTGAATCTATATTTATATTTGAATATATATATTTTACAACCACCATTTTTTTATCTATGCTGATTGTTGCACTATAATATCCTTCTATCATTTTTTAATTTTTTTCTATTCTTTGCAGGATTTGGTTCGACTGGAAAAATTCACGCTCTCGTTATCTACAATTTCCTTCTGTTACTGCAACGTTAATTCACCATGAGCTTAATGTGGCTATGACAGGCTAATTGACAAAATATAGTTTTATATATATAAAAAACTGACTATCGATTATTGATGATCTCAATCGTATTGATGGTTTTCAGATTTTTATAAACCAGAAAAACCGCTCAACTTTTTTTTCCATCATGACTATGCTCCAAACATTCACCGAACTGTGTGAAAGGTACGATGTGAAAAGTGCTTCGAATACTCTTCATAAAATTAACTCAAATGAAATTAAAGAAATAGCTAAGCTTATTGATGAGGACGATAAGCAATCTCAATTTCTGTTAGAAGCTCTATGTCTTTTCAGAGATCAGAATGGACCAGATGATCTGGACGTGGCAGACATTTCCTCTCAGCTAGGTCTAGTTCAGGTGAATATAGGCAAATATTTAGAAGGAAAACAACTGCTCCTTACAGCCTACAACATATATAGTAGCCAAAAAGGTGATAGATATTGGAAAATAGCCGAAGTCTTGACAAGATTGGGTGTCACTTTTGTCTTCTTGGATCAATTAGATAAAGCGCGAGAGGCTTTAGATAAAGCTCTGTCCATAATTGAACAACAATCCGATTGTGACGAGGTTGAAATTGCTGAAACAATTTACTGTTTGGGAATCGCTTTTGGCGATTTGGGGAATCACGAAAAGCAAAAGGAACTTTTGGAGCGTGTTCTGACTGTCTTTGAAAAGCACTATGGAATAGATAATTTTAAATTTGCAACGAAGCTGTCAGGTTTAGGTGCAGCTTACGTATTTTTAGGAGATCACCTTAAGGCTAAAGAGCTTTTGGAAACAGCTTTACCCGTTATTGAAGCTCATTTTGGTGAAGATAATCCAGAAGTGGCTGAAGCTATGGCCAACTTGGGAGTCGTGTACGGAGCGTTGGGTGATAATCGTCGAGAAATAGAACTCTTGGAGAAAGCTTTGTCCTTCTTTGAAAATCGCTATGGGGAACATCACGTCAAGGTTTCTGTTGTGCTTACAAATTTAGCACTAGCCTATGGGATGAAAGGAGAACAGAACAAGGAAAAAGACATTCTGGAAAGAGTGTTGTGTCTTAGCGAAGAAATATATGGCACCGAACACTCTGAAGTTGGCAAAATACTAACTAATTTAGCAACGGTTTACGGTGATCTTGGCGACATTCACAAGAAGAAAGAAGTTCTTGAACGAGCTGTTGTTGTTTTAGAAAAAACTCTTGGCCCGAATAGTTTAGAATTAGGGGAAGCTCTAGTTGCGTTATCGGGCGTATACCGTGAGCTGGGTGATCCTTTATCTGAAGTGAAACTTTTGGAAAAAGCTATGTTGATACTTCAAAAAATGTACGGTTCCGATCATATTCAAGTTGTTGAAAGCCAAATAGCTTTAGGTTTGGCTTATGGTGCCTTGAGTAATTACAAAAAACAAAGAGAACTACTTATGAATGCTCTTCCTCTAATAACAGAGCATTACGGACCAAAACATTCGTTGGTTTTATTAGTAAAGGAGACTTTAGAAGATTCTCCTGATCAAAATTTTATAATGGCGAAGACATGCTGTACTATTTTGTAATTTTTAAATATTTATTGTGTATATACAACAGTTTTTTTATTAATTATTTTACAGAGCAGAGAATAAAATTATATTAATATAACCTATAATTATAATTGTGTTAAGTATGGCTGTTTTTATGGCTCTGTAGTCACATGAAATTATATTTTTCCTCATAATATTCTATTTTCATAACTGATGAGTTTGTAGCAGTTACTCTCTTTGGACAAGTTTAGCCTATATTTAGACAACGTCCTCAACGCTTATTCTGAAAATAGCACAAAACGTCAATAGGGAGGAAAGCGACAGTTTTTAGAAAATGAAAAGCATTTGTAGTCCAATTCTTTAATATTTAAAAACTTTCTCCAATGCTGTCTCCAATTTTCATCTAAGCGGGAAAATGTCGCCAAATTGGAGATTTTTAAGAAAGTTTAATAACTTGTGAAATATTTTAGTTATTTGTCCCTTCTAAAGCCCAGATAATTCTTCTCAGCAAGATGGCACATACATTGATCCAAGTGTAAGGCACTTAAACTGTGCTTTTATTTTATTTATTTATTTAATTTTTTTCCTCTTGGCGAAAGACATTTGAAAAACCACGTTGTATGTTTTATCTCTTAAATGTAATTGACTGCCCATGAGCTCTTTAAAAAACAAACATTCAAAATAATTTAAATGCTTTTGCTTTTATTCTTTCATAAATCGGATTTGCTTGAAATTCAATTAGATTTATTCAAGAGAATTGAAACACACTGCGTTTAGTGAATCAACTATAAATTAATTAGTTATTGATTAATTGATACTTATTAATATTTCAAAACTATGTTCCAAGAAATATGAGCTCATACCGTGATTTAAAAAATGATATTCAAAATTATTTAAAGGCTTTTTATTTTAATATTTATTCTTTCATAAATCGGACTTGCTCGAAATTTAATAAGTTTATTGAAACACACTGCATTTAGTGAATTAACTATAAATGAATTGCTTATTGATTAGTAAATACTTTCTGAAATTTCAAAATCATGTTCCAATATAGTATATGAACGCAAAATATTAACATTTATTTCACCTTAAGACAATACATTTTAAACAATTTTCTTAGAATAAATAATGCAATTTAGAATAAATAAACAATGCAATATTACATCAATTATCACTAAGATGACTTTTATGAAATTTGTACCCGATGAATTTTATAAATCTCATTTAAATAATTATCTCATTAATATAAAGTTGCAGTTCTCATTAACGTAAAGTTGTAATCGTAAATATAAGCTCTTTGCATCTTCCGACGTAAATAGCTTACTCCACAAGACATGTTTGTGGAGTATATTGTCTAAACAGACTGTAAGAGAAGAATACTCACCAATTAACCATACAGCTAACGGCATGATTGCCATAACTTCAAAACAACACTATTTTATTGTATGTTTCTCACCGAATTTCACAACGATTAAAGAAAGCTTCTCAAATTCTCTTAGTTTTAGTATTTAAAATTTAAAAAAAAAAAAAAAAGTTTNCCGGTTGGATGAATTTCACAGCGATTAAAGAAAGCTTCTCAAATTATCTTAGTTTTAGTATTTAGAATTTAAAAAAAAAGAAGTGCTTTTTATGGATTTTATTAAAGTTTTGGGAAAATCAAATTTTATTCACATCGTTTTTACTTAGGATTACAACGAGAACAAATAAACTTTACTGCGAAAGTCATTTCGTAAATATCTATAGCTTCAAAACTAAGATCAGAATTGAAATAACCACACTCTAATCAAGAAAGATCAGAATTTTCTTGTTCAAAATTCAGCATAAGGTTTTGTGTAGAAAGTAGGCGTTACTTTTCACCATAGTATCTTATAACCTGTTATGCTAGAAAGTAGGCGTTATGAGTCAGTCGCTAATCATTTTGCTAATGTTGGAAGTTTCCGGTTATATGTTTGTGGGTCTCAACTCAAGCAGCTTCTCATTTAAGTACCCTGTTGCTTCCATACAAAGAAGGTACATTAAAAGATTTTTATAAATTTCATGCTTTGTCAAACTATTTTTACTTAAATACATGCTATCGTACACTTATATACACTTCTTGTTCAAAATTGCGAATGAAGTTTTGTGTAGAAAGTAGGCGTTACTTTTCACCATAGTATCTTATACCCTGTTATGCTAGAAAGTAAGCGTTATGAGTCAGTCGCTAATCATTTTGCTAATGTTGGAAAGTTGGAAGTTTCCGGTTGGATGTTTGTGGGTCTCAACTCAAGCAGCTTCTCATTTAAGTACCCAGTTGCTTCCATACAAAGAAGGTATATTGAAAATTTTTTATAAATTTCATGCTTTGTCAAACTATTTTTACTTAAATACTTGCTATCGTACACTTAATGTAGATACTCAATTTTACTTTTAATTACGCGTAAAAATGGACTTCTGCTTATACAGTAATATAATCAATAGCAATAATTGTAATAAACATCATGTGCAGTAAACAATTTTTAAGTTTAAAAATTGATTGAAAAATTCTCTGTTGCTAGTTAAATCGATCGTGTGTGTGTCACAGTGTGTAGATGGCTTTTAAAACTGTAATGAATTCAGATTCATTCTTTAGGTTCCTCGACTTCATTCAGTAGAATCTTAACTTGGTGAATTGATAGATATATTTAGCAACATTACATAACTCTAAAATCATTAGAGTGATAAAATAAATTCCTGAATTTCTCAAAATAAAGAAATATTTTTTTGGAATTTCAATAAAGTTTTTATGTCAAATTTTATAAAGTTTTTTCTTGTAAAATTGTGTTTTAAAATTCACTTAATTAAATACATTAAATTTGAAAAATGGTAACAATTGTTCAAATTCATAAAATATGAATACATAAAATTTAGGAAACAAGTTTGATTTCTTAATGTTGATTCAATTAAATGTATTTTTCAAAAAAATAATAATTTTTTTAAATTATTTCAGTATATTTTGTAATCAATAACGCGGTAAGAAGTCAGATTTAACGATTTTATTTTTTATACACTTCGCGAGTTTTTTTATGTACAAAATGCAAATTTGAATACCAATTTGGCATGAAAATGAATATTCAGTTATGTTATCTTAAAGTAACTCGAAAATTAATCAATTATTATATGTTATTTAAGTTTGAAAAGTAAAAACCTAATTATTTGCTATTTTTACTAATAACCTAAATTTTATAATTTATGTAAATAAACTTTAAAAAAATTTTTTTTTTCGAACTTATGTTTGAAAGAGAGTGATGTGCTGCTAAAAATGAAGTAAATTTCTTAGAGGGTTAATTTTTATTACTCTTTTTCTTTGTTGTTGTTGTTTTTAAAGCCATTTGCCAATATCAGCAAACCTGCTTAATGAAACCAAGCGAATTTATGGCAGAGGGTACGTCTCTTGTCTTTCAGTGTCACCATCTATGGCCAGGAATGCGATTTCAACCACACACACGTCACAGCCATTTTACAGGAAAGACCCAATCATACTGGTGGTACTTATTCCTCTTGGCCCAGAACAAGGCTAGACCAAGTCCAGGAGACCGTTCACCGACAGTAAATCAAACACCATCTGCGGATCCTCCAAAATAAAATTTTTCTCCAGTCGCATACAGGATAGCAAATGATCTGGTGAAGCCTGGTGGGCATTACATTTTAGGCATACAGAGAACGTCTTTTGACCCTGAACAAATGTTTGTCCGCGGGTATGACCAGTGATTAGTCTTGTGATAGCTGTCTGTAGTTTCCTATCACCTTTTAGCTCCAGGGCAGCCCCAGGACTATCTTGTTGATACCATTCACGACTAGGTGGAATCCTCCAAGTCCTATTATAGTCCCAATCATACTTCATTCATTCATCCACAGATCGTAATCGTGACCTAAACCAGAGAACGATCAATCTCCATTTCATTACGACCAGAAGTATTGATTTGTTATGGGAACATAGAGGACTTTGCGATCCGATAAATTTAACATGCACCATTTTGCATAATGTTGGAGATGTAATAAACTAAAACCTAAGTCCTAATGTGAATTTGTTCTTTTTATCAAGGTTTAGGTAAGGATATTTAGGAATTTATCTTTAAAAATTCAATATTGAACAATATATTTAGTTCTATTTCATTGCTGTTTGATTTTTTTTTTTTAAGATTTAAGTTTGAAACACAAGTAATTAAAATATTTATCAAGAAAAATAATTATTTTGGAATTTATGCATAACAATCAGTTGTAGAGCTGCTAGCGTGACGTGAAAAATTTGTAGTTTTTAAGCTCTAATTTGCCTTCATTTTGAAAAATGTTTTTTAAATTTTTATAATTTTCCTTAAATGTATAATTTTAGCTTACCAAACATAAAACTAAAATTTTAATTAAGCCCTTTTAAAAAAATTTAGTCGAAATCAGTTGAGTATCTTAAAACTTCATTCACTTTCTTTCAAACGCCGTTTTAAATAGATTTTTATAAAAGCTGTTGATAGAATGTAGGCGTAACATTTCGTAAAACAATCTGATTGTCTTCGGTTCTTTCGGTGTCAATATATAAAAAAGAATTAAAAAAATTTTTTTTTTAAATTGTCATCATTTTTAAAGTTTTAACAGTTTATACTTAATGGATTTTGATGAATGATAGATTTAAATGATTTTGTTTTCATCTCAGGCACTGTTTTACCAACATCTCCTTGGAGAGAGGGTAGGTTTTGGAGGCGTTCATTCTACATAGGTCAAAGCTATGAGCAGAATGTAGGCGTATCTTTTCATCAAATACAAAATCTTCCAAGAGTACTTACTGCTTGTGACCCGGGAAAGAGAATAAGCTGGTATAGTAACTAGTAGTAACCTGATTTCCTGTACAGTATGCAAAATAAAAAACAGACCACCATGATTAACATCTGATCTATAAATTGGATTTTCATGTTCTAGGACTAAATCTTATTGTTTCTTGGGGGTGACTTCGAATATGCGAAATATTTAGTGCAGACGATACTATAAGTTACTACTGTCTATGTCTATACTATAAGTCTATGTGGTTAGGCTACTTAAATTGCACCCATATTGGCCATTACGGTTATTTTATCTGTGTCATCCCATTCATATTTCAGTGTTACATCTGCAGACATATTGTATT